GAGTGGTAAGGTAAAGAATTCGTTTATATCATCTTTGCTTAATATCGAAAAGACCTGCTTCCAGAAATGACGTTTTACAAGATTCAACTGTAAAGACTTGTACAAAAACCATATGTGTATGGAACACGTACAGTGGCCTGTCAGTGCCAAAATACACCGAAAAGACGTGTGTTCGTGAAATATTCTATATTCTGTTTGTTTAATTAACACATAACACATGGGCGGAGTGGTGGCTCTGTGGCTAAGGATCTGCGCCTGTGGCTGGAAGGTTGCCGGTTCAAATCCTGCAGCCAGCAGCCTACTCTGATGGGCCCCTGAGGAAAGCCCTTAACCCCAACTGCTCCAGGAGCTGTACAACGGCAGACCCTGCGCTCTGACCCCCAGCTTCTCTCCCTGTCTGTGTGTCTCATGGAGTGCAAGCTGGGGTAGGCGAAAAGATAATTCCTAATACAAGAAATTGTAAAGGGTTAATAAAGTGATGTTATTATTATGCCTCAAAACTGTTTTCAAATATAAGTCTTGCCCAGAAAGAATGCAAATGGAGTTGGAAGCAATACTTTACAGTACATTAAGATTTATATCTATTGAAAGTGTAATTTCTTTCCTTTGCTTCGATAAACACAAATGTACTTTTTTTTAACTTAAAATAGGTCAACGGGTTTGACAACGTGAACAATGACACATCCTACTCCTGTGTACCAAATAAATACATGAGTTGTTTCTAGACAATTATGATAATAGCAGGTGGCTGCCTTAGTCAATTGTGATAAGGATCTAATTTGAGAATACAGCCCCGCTGTGTTCTGTATGGAGATTGATGTGGTCGGGAATTGAATTGAGCTGTCACTTGCTCGTTTTGCTTGCTCAAAAGACAAGACTTTTTCCTGCTGCGCAGGGACTGTAGTTCGGCCGTTTAAAAGTTTCGTGTTCATTAGGGTTTACGGTTGCCGGAGTAGGTTCTGCTGCTGGCAAGATAAGAGGGTGACTTACTTTATTGGCCATATACAATTTCTTGTAGGAGGCATTTGTCTTCATGTGCTGTTGGCTTCACCTGTAGTCTCTCCAGCTTGATTCAATTATGTTGCATCCTGCTTGTCCATACTGCTCTGTTTCACTGTGTAAGCCGTCATAACCTCTAGCGGCCTGCAGTCTGTCAGCTGGCTTGGTTCGCAGAACATGTAAGCGATTTCTAGATTTGTTGAACTACAGTATACCTTATGTGTCTGGGATTCTCAGGCAGTTCCAAAAAGAGGTAAAATCGCAAAGCGCATTGTAAAAATTCAAGACGCTGACTGGGGCGCGGATCAGTTCCATCTCATTTGCACTTCCCCTGAATTTGCTTTGTGGCGCAATTAGACAGCTCAGCCAGGCCTTTTCTATTTTTCTATTTCTGCATTTATTCACGGTGGCAAGGGAGGAGTTTAATGTCCCGTGGAACGTTTTCCTGGGAATGTGATCTCCAAAATTAAATCCCGATGTCAGGGATTCATTTGTAGTCCCACGGAAGGAGAAATGTCATGTGAACTTCCTAATCACAATGCTCAATGTAAGGTTACAACGGATGTTAATTGTTAATGATGCTGAGTAAGAATCAACGAGCACCAGGTAATTGTGGTGGTTGCATTCAAGGATGTCACTGGTCACTGTGAACCATGGTTGGAGGGTGCATTTTCACTGGTTGCAGTGAGTTTGCAAATGGGTTTTCTGTAAGTGTGTTACATACTATGCTGTTGAGAGTGTTGCATCTGTTTTAATCTAGACAGTATATGGCATTTGTTTACTTGTTTAACTATGTGAAATGTATGCTTGGCAATTTAAACTGTGTTCATCGTCTTTCAAAACTAACCACACATGTGCAATGCATTAACAGTTGAAAATTAAATGTCATTTCATAAAATGTGAGTGCTCAACTGAACAGAAACCCTATTGTTTTACATTGTGAGACACAAACACAACTAGAAATCAGTGTTCTAGTTTAACTTGTACCAAGAAAATGCAACACTGACACAAACCCTGTGCTTGTACAGAATTGTTTGCTCATAATACATTTACAGTATGTAGGAACTGGACTGGAATCCATTTTATCTGTTATAAAACTAACATTTGTAGTTGCCAAATGGTAACTTGGTGGAATTATGGTTTGTGTTACATATCATCTTTAAATTTGACTTGCGGGCATTATAAATTATTTCAAGAACAAAAATGTCACAAATAATGCAGTCCCCCACTAACAGTATGGGCCCCATACAGAGTAGTGCTGTATGTGCAAATAGACATCTTTAATTCAGACTAAAAAAAATCAAATCTCTCCCTTGCCTTGCACAGCACATGTGCACAGACAAACTAATAAGTTATTGGCTCAGTGTCAGTTGTATTTTTTAAGTTCTCTGTCACACAAATCCCAAATCTCTTCTGTTTACAAATTTTTGGACATGCATGTGTTTTTCTCTCAGACAAGTACAGTCTGTATTGGTCTCTGGCCCATATAATAAATTATGATGCACTGAAGATACATCTTTATTATTATTACTACTGGGTTTTCTTTTTTCCGTTTGTAATGAATTAAAAAATAGACTGATAAAACAGTTTTCATGGACTGAGTACGCTGTAGTTATTATAGTTATTTATTATTTAGAGATCTTTTCTAGCCCCCCCTCAATCCACCCAACTTCACCCCTTGGGGCTGCCTCCCTGGCTCATTCCTCAGAAGTATAAGTGAGGGGGTTGTGACAGCGCTGATCTTCGGCCTGCGCTGAGCTTTCTCATTGCCAGCTGAGTTAATGCCAAAGTTTTGAGTACTGGACTCTGTCCCTTTAAATTCATCAGCTTGTTTTGTCATTAGTAAAATTTGACCAAAACACAAAATGAAGATATAAATGAAGATTGTCAATTTGCCAATGAAGTGTTAAAATACCAATTGTATGCATATGGGCCATAATCTCTTTCTCTTAGAATGCAGATGGCATTCAAATGTATGTTTTTAACAAAGTATCTGTACTGGGAGATATTTGCCAAGCATTAAAAACAATAGTTAAATAGCAGAATAGCTCTATAATAGAATAGTTATTCTGTATATATAATAGAATATATAGTAATATATAGTAACAAAGAATAGTTTTTTCTTCCTGAACATCTTTGGAGCTCAATAGCACACTATTATTGCAGTTATAAGAGCTGTTTTCCTCTTATAACTGCAATAGAGACATCATGTTTCTGTGTTTCAAGTAGACCATGTGGAGTTGTTAGCTGGGGTTGTGACATCTGGAGAAATGGTCAAGTTCATCCCACAGGGGTAGCATAGAAGCTTCTGTGACAACAGCACTGTGCAAGCTGAGGTTAATTTAGTGCAGTATCTGGAAGTCTTATGTCAACTTATTCTCACCATGTGCTTCTTTTAAAATTTGCGAAAAGTATAGGGCATTTTTGTCAAAAGTGTTGCAGTGGACATTGAGAAATAAGTTTGATGGGTAACTTCATATTATTTCACATAAGAGCTGGTTCTGGGACAAAACTCTCCAGCTAATTATAGTGATGTGAGAGAATTGACAACTGATACCTGCAGAGTAATGTATAAATGTAACAATCCCAGACAAAGCTGGGAAGTTAAGCTGCTGTGAAGTACTAAAGATACAGGTGAATACGTTCTTTAAATAAAACCAAAACACGATTCTGTATACTGTATATCTGTGTTGTGTAGATTAATGGTTTTTGAATCAACAGAACTTTACGTCTAGGGGAGACTAAGGTAGAGAGAAAAGCATCCACCCTCATTGCCTGTGGTGTAAGGAATGCTGAGATTGTTTCAGCGATTTCGTTCCCACTTTATAAATGATTTTTAACAAAGACTGATATATTCCATATGTGCGCTCTGTCAGCTCCAGTTATGTCTGCGCTTCTGTGATTTTTTCCTCAGTTTTTTCCTGTTGAATAAATATCTGAATTGTTTCTTTTATTTTCTTCATAAATAATACCAAAAATATAAATATTAGAAAATATTACATATATTGGTATAGCATACATAATGCATCGATTTGTTAATTTTCATACAGTGAAGAGTCTGAGCTCATACACAGTCCCAGAATTGTAAATGGTTGTATTGTATGCAGATTTTCTTTTTAAAAAGAAGAAGCATTTACTAAAGAGAACCACAGTAACTGATTTATTCATGTTTATTTACATCTGCTGGTTTCAAAATACAAAAACCATTGGTCTAGGTCAAATCATATTAATACAGAATTACATACAGAAAATACAGAATGAATACAGAAATACTGTACAGTTTGTCTGTAAAAATGGGAAACAACTGTATTTGAACCTTGCTTTTTACTGAATGTGTTCCATGAATCATGTAAGGGGGAGAATAAATTGGAGAGAACCAGGAATATTGTAAAGAGTATATTCTAATAAATGTGGTTCTCTTGGGAATGTGGGACAAACTTTTCCAGATGTGTGTGAATGTATAGACATGTACAGCACAGAGTACATGTAATCATAAATGCTTAAAATGCTTTTTCTTTGTTTTCTGTTATATAAAACAAAGGAAAGAGTGCTGAAAACACTGTGTATAATGTGGCACAAATGCCAATACCGGTCAATACCAAAGTACTTTACCAAAGTACAGTGTAGAGCTTTTAACTCCTCTCCTCAGACATGAGCCTGACATTTCATTTTGTTCACTCACTTACAGCGACAGATCCATTAAACTGCTGGGCTGTCTAATGAAACACTATAACGGCTTCTCAATTACAGGTCAAAGCTAAGCATTGAACAAGCCACATACCAGAGGCATGCCTTTTTAATTAATTCCGATTTTTTCGAAAGCCCGTTAAGGCTGGGCAAGAAAGGGTTGGGGGTTCTTCTTGTGATAATCGCTAACGGATACGGCTCTTAATTTCCCGCAGCCAGGAATGTTGACATTTCGACTTCGTGGCTGTTATGGATTCCTTCACCCCTGCTAGAGGGTACTAACGGCTGTCTTGTTTTCCCCCGTCGGTTTCTAGGAAGCTCAAGAAACTGTACCGGAAGCTGAGGGACAAAGGCACTGCGCCCGAGGAAACAGATGACAATCAGAGACTGTCCAGACAGTGGGACTTGGATTACAACTTGGAACCATTTACCGGCCTAACTCCCGAATACATGGAAATGAGTAAGCCGTCTCTACTTGTGTAATTCCAAATCCGTCACCTGTCGTTAACAGATACAGACCTGAACCTTGCTGGTAAATCACCAGGTGGTTTGTTTCTCGATTTGGGTGGGGGGGGAGAATTGCTGTGTCCGGGTGTTCGAGTACGGACGCCGCATTCAGCATTTTCGAGGATTCAGAAAATCGGTGACACGAGCCATGGTTCTTGAACGAAACAGCACGGTGTGTGGGTGTGTGTGTGGGTGGGTGGGTGTGTGTGTCAGTTTTGTGATGACCTCCAAGTACAAACATACAAACATGCATTTCCTTTGTATGTTAGGCTGTCACAGGTGTTTTTATTTCGGCGGTTTTGCAGAACGCCATAAATGCCTAAGAGGCAGTGGCTCTGTATTTTGCCTTGCCAGCACCCATAGATGGGACCATGCCTCGGCGTATTTAGTACCGTATATTACAATATAATGATATAGAGCAAGACTTTTGTCCATAATAATAATGAATGCTGAGTGTTACCTTCAGAACCTTCATTCCAGTCATGGTTATCCCTACTAGACTGTACCTGATGGGAATGCGAAGCCTTGTGAGGGTTTTCCAAATGGCACACCGAAGAGATTACACATTTGAAGCTGACAAGATCCAGGGTGCGATAAGCACCAGGGGGTTACAAAACCCATCCCCCAGCAGGGAGCTTTGAGAGGTCACATGGGGGACCGTCCACAGCACTCAAGGCAGAAATCAATCGATATGTATTGATGGATTAAACACGACGCGTCTGTTTAGGTGAAATTTATGTGAAAACCCAAAGGGAATTTTTCCATTTCAGTGTCCTCAGCAGTGCTTTCAGTTTATGCGTGCCTGGCCTCAGTGCTTCTAAATTTGTAACACCCTCTCTCGTTGTTAAGAGGTGGCTGGGGATTCTAGCTTTCATATCCAAACTGCTGGCAGTTTTCTTTATTATTGTTTTAATTTCTTACTTTTTTTAACAAATATCCCATCGGTGTCTTAGAAAACTGTCCTGACCTTTTTTTTTTTTGTTAGTCTTTTTGCCAAACTTGGAGTGGATATATTGGAAGTAGCTTCTTAAAGAACATTTTCTCCCACTGTCATTCCCTGCCTGCAGGTTTTCTTACCCCTTTTTCTGGAATTTCTGTTGGCATTGATTAATTGTTAGAGCCCAGTTTATATTTTCCCTCCAAGACTTCTCCAGGCAGTGATCCGAATGATAAAAAAATATGTATCCCCTTAGTCATCCAGAATGGCTGGAATTTACAAGGACTTCAGTGGCATTTCATCTGCTGTAGTGCTCAGACTTCAAAGGCAGAAGCTGCTGTGCTAGAGTACAACGGCTGAAGGTTTTTCCAAATTTAGGTGTTGATTTATACCTTTGGATTCAATGAGAACTGGTCAGTGTCTTCAGTTTTCCACGCTGCGTTAATATTTTACTTTTAAAAAT